GCCTTAGAAAACAAATCAGAGCAGGATCCCAGAACTCACTGAGCCTTTATTCACTCGAAACAAAGGAATTAAGGTGAACGGGTAAGAAATGTTTGTTGACTGAGTACTTTTAAACACTGAATATGAAACACTGAAATTCTTCTTGAAAGAAGTAGTCAGTCAGCTGGAATTTAGAAATCTTTTACTGCAAGGATTTTTGCCATGACGATGCTTCCATGGTAAAGAAGATTTGATCCGAGGAAGAAGCAAGCATTTCATTACCCTTCAAAGACTGGCATCTCTTTTCATTCCAGTTCATTTTTTTTCCACTTTTTCCATAAGCCCAGTTCAGCTACCACTGGTAACTACCATTCAAGGCCTCCTCCTGGGGGCAGTCAGACCCTCTAAAAAGTGTATGCGAGCACACACACTCAAACACACACTCACAATCCTCATGAATTAGCCTTCAACCCAGGGCTTCTCCTATCTCAATAGATGGGATCCAGTTAAAATGAAGATTTTGAGTAGATATGGCTGGGTTGGGGCCTAAGAATCTGCACTGCAAATAAAGCGATGCTGGCTATTTCTGCCGGCCTGAAATCACACTGAGCAGCAAAGCCTTATGCCATGTCCTCCATACGATACAGGAACACAGAATCCATAGTCAGATAAGGATTGGGTGAATCAGAAAGGTCAGAGTCTAGAAGAGGATATAAACTCATATGCCAGTGATTATATTACAATGCTTTAAGTGTTCATAAACAATATTGATAGAACTGTGGAGGGGAGGAAGAGGGGAAGGACCGGCGGCAGCTGAAAAGATAAGAAGTATGAAATATAAATAAGCTTTATTTTAGGATTGCGGGGAGAGACACCCCCGACTCCCTGGGGCATGGCATCTCTACCCCGGGGCCGGTGATCTCTCCGTGGAACACATGGAGTGAGGCAGATAAGTAGCCTCGGCCTGGGGTGGAGCCTAAGGGGGCATTAGGGATGCACAGGTAGTCTATTGGTCTTAATTTGGCACCAGAGGTAATTCCTAAGGGTGGGGGGAGATAGGAGCTCCTTGGCTTTACTGGCTACAGTATCCGGCCTGGGCCAAAACCCTTTCAAATATAAATGTTTACAAATCTGGGGGGAAAGGATTGAGTAGAGGAGAGCATGGTTTAAAAAAAAAAAAAGAAAAGAAATTTGGGAGAACTCAGTGGTGTCCATCTTTGGAAGAGTTTTTTGTTTTGTTTTGTTTTTGAGCTATTGCAGATTAAACCAATAGCCTTCACACTGAGCTACATCCCTACCCTCTCCCCCTTTCCTGACACAGGATCTCCCTAAATTGCGAAGTTGCCCAAACTGACCTTAAACTTGCAATCCTCTTGCCTCCTGCTCCCAGAGTACTAGGGTTTTAGGCATCCATAGCATCTAGAAAGGAAAAGAAGATTCTTGGACAAGCCTGTATTTATCATTGTAGTTACTGTGCTACTTTGCAGTTACTACTACAAAATATCTGAGCTAACCAGCCTACAGAAATAAACGTTCTGTCTTTAGCTGACAATTTGGGAGGTGACAACCCACGGTTAACTGGCTTCCCTGACTCTGGAGGCATGTGCAAAGGCAGTGTATCACAGTGGGAGGACACATACACCAAAATTGCTCACTTCATTATGAACAGCAAGCAAAGAGTGAGGAAGGGCTGGCATCTCTCTCTCCCTCCAAGAGCAGACCTCCCAATAGTTATAGGCATCTAAATTAGACAGAATATTACAGGCAGTCAGACAGGACTGGGCCCTTCAAGGAGCCAATGCAGAAGACCAGATACCTTGCAACTTGCAAACAAGCACCTCCAGCTGTGGGCTGATCTCAAGACAAAAGACAAAACAAATTCAGCCACACCCTAAGGATAAACATCAGGGACTGATGTTCTAAAAAGGTATCCACCTTGAAGGGGGCAAAAGTAACCACTAATCCCAAACCCCTACAGGCAAAGGCTGTATTCAAGCCCCCTTGCTTAGTGACCTGCTTCCCCTTTTACTCCCAATTTAGTCAATCTCACTGAACAATTACACTTGTAATCTTATTGGCTTGACCATAGTTCTGTCCCATCTCATGCCCGCCTGCCTTGCTTGAGTTCCCATTTTTCCCTACCTTGGACCCACTCACCTCGGTTTTTTACTCTATAAAAGTCCCTAGAAGATGGTCGTTGCTTCTTGTAATCCACAAATGAGCCCTCAAACTTGAGTTCAAAAAAATGGGACAAAAACATATTTTAAAAAAGCAGCGCTGATTTATTTTATCCTGGGCCCAGAGACACAGTGCAGCTGGAGATTGCAAAAGCTGTGTGTCACTCTTGCAGACTTGCAGCCTTTATGTACATATCACAGTTTACAAAGTAAGGGGTTATGGGCATGGATCAGGAAATCTGCTAATGAGGAAGATCTTTGTTTTCCTTAGCAGAGAACAGAGAAGTCTAGCAGTAATTAACAATCCTTTGTCAGCTTATTCTAGCACCATATCTGTTATTTGTAGAGGGCAACAATGGTTAACATATCAATTAGGTCACCCAGAGTGGGGAAAAACACATACAGAACAGTAGGCTGCCATTACAGGTACTTTGGCATAATACAAACATAATGAAGTTCTTTTTGCTAGGGTACAGCATTGGCTTTGGCTTTTTTTTGGACAGAGGCTTTGACTTTTTTTTGGACAGAGGCTTTCTTTCTCTCAATAAACATATTCTGCTGTTAACCTTCATGTTCCTAAAGTTCATTCTTTGAATGGATACTTATATCTAGGAGTTTCTCCTATACCACAATGACCTAAAAACTTTCCCTTGGGCCCCAACTCTTAAGTGTTTTACCACCTCCTGATAATACCACCCAGGCAATCCTTGTGGGTCTTTGGAGGACATTCAAGATCCAAACTATAGCAGATGGCAACTCCCTGTGAGCAGTACTCACTTCTGTATTCTCTGCCTAATACAGTGCTGGCATACACATCCTCCATGAATACTTGTTGATTGGATGAATGAACCAATTTCTTATTATATTTCATTTAATTCTTTATTGCAGCAAAATACACACAAATTTATCATGTGACATGAGTACTTTCGCATTGTGTAACCAACACCACTGTGTAACCAACATTGTGTATCCATCCCCAGAACTTTTTCATCACCCCTGTACCTGTACCTGTTTAACATAGTTCCATTTTTCCCCTCCCCCAGCCTCTGGTTATTATTTTATTTTTTGTCTTATGAATCTGATTATCTTTGGTACACTATATAAGTTGAATCATACAATATTTTTCCTTTTATATTTGGCACATTTCGCTTGGTATGTCTTCAAGTTTTCATCCATGATGTAGCCGCTATCAGAATTTTGTTGCCTTTTAAGACTGAATAATATTCCATTGTATGCCTGTACCACAGTTTGTTAGTTCATTTGTGTATCAGTGTGTAGATAGGTTGCTCTCTCCTTTTGACTATTGTGAATAATGCTGCTATAAACATGGGTGTACAAGTATTTATACAAAGCAGGAGTCCCTTCTTTGAAATCTTTCTATTATAGTCCTGGAAGCAGAATTACTGAATCACAAGGTAATCCTACCCTGAATTTTTAAAAGACCCTCCTTCCATTTTGCTGAATTTTAAATTTTAAACAGTTACTTAGTTAAATAGTACAGGAAGTAAGAATCTCAGCATGTAGATTCTCCCTGCTCAGAAGGCAGGGGAATGACCTTCAGATCTGGTAATTTATAACATGGATTATCCTTGCTGTACCTTTCCTCTTAGATAGAAGATAGAAGATAGAATTACCCAGAGAGAATTCAGACTTCAAAACACAGTATGTCTTTTTTAAAAAGCTATTTATTGAATTAACAGACTTTTTAAAAAGGTATATACAATATATAGAAGATAATTAGATAGAAATAACTTAGAGAGGGACTGGGCTCCCAAGGAAGTCATAAGAAAAACAGACCTCAGAATTGTGGCTGTAAGCACATCTGAAAAGACCGAGCTCCAAGATAAAGATGCAAAGGCCAGGTCTACATGCTTCTTAAGGGATAAACAATTACTTGAGTCTCTATTGTACTTAGCATCACCTGGTCCAGTAAATCCAGACAGGTATCCCTTCAGATAGGTAACAGTGGCCCAGGTTAGTGATCAGAGCATCTGGACCCATCCGTTCCCCCGAAATGCCTTTGTTCTTGGCACTATGGGATCAGTATTAGCTGAGCAGCTATACCTGCAACCCTACAAGTTAATGGCATTTTGATCCATGTGGTACTCACACTGTGACCTTGCTATATAGCTTAAGCCTACCAAAGAGCCTCAGTGGCCCTCTTGAAAATTCAGGAGCTATTCTTCTCTCCTTCCAATAAACTGTCCTAAATTCTTCCTTTGGTTCACAGCATCATTCCTTGATCTTGTGCGACCATGAACTCAGCATGTTTGACATCTAGTAGGTCAGAAATTACATTTCTCCTATATCACCATGAAATGCAAAGCCGGAAGGAGGCTATAGATCACATCACATCCTTTCACCCACAGTGAATGGACCAATGGATGGGACCAAAAGCCTTCATATTTTTAGGTGGGCTAGGCCAGGCCTGATAGCAATCTCTGCTGCTCTGGCAGCTGCAGAGGACCCTGCACCCCTGCAACCTAACCAGTGCTATGTTTCTCCCCATACAACACCAGTACAGCCAGCAAGGCTCCTGCTGCCAAAGGTGTGACATTTTCTGCAAATGGTGACACTGGCAGTAACATTTTCTTGCAGACCAATCTAAGTCAGAGGAAGCCAAACCTGGGGAAGCACAGGCTGTCCAAAGCATAGCACACTGAGGGTGAGGCTAAGGGAAGGGCTGGTCCACAGCTGGAGGTCATTAAAATGTGGCAAAGGCCCCCTTCTTTGTTCTCAGGATCATTTTAAAGTGCTACCAGGCCTGAGGGCAGGGAGTGAGATTCCAAGAACCCGGAGATTCAGGATTACCCAGACAGAATACAGACTTTAAAACACAGGATGTCTTTTTTTAAAAGCTATTTATTGAATTAACAGACTTTTTACAAAGGCATATACAAACTTCCCCTCTAGCAAATTCGCTGTTTTTATTTTCCTGGGCTCTTGTTCTTAGCTAATGCCATTTTAATTTCTGTTTTCTTTTTTCTTCTCCTTGTTTTGGCAATGCTGGTGATGCACTCCAGGGCCTTGAGCATGCTAGGCAAGCACTCTGCCCTTAAGCTACACCCATGGTCTCTATTTCTCTTTTTAGTCCCTCAGTCATGCCTAGATTTCTTGTGTCTCCTTCTTATTTCTGAAGGAGGTTCTGCCTGAATTTCCATCATTTTTTGGTTCCTGCAACTGGAGGCAAGAAGGGCTAGTTTGCTTTTTATTCTGTCTTTTGGTGCACCATCCCTTTAGATACACACACACACACACACACACACACACACACACACATGCACACCCTCTACATACTCTTGTTTTGGTTGGAAATGTGTTTTTACTCACTCCATTTTATTGTCCAACTGCTTTTGGAAAGGTAGGAGTCCAAGACGCCTTTCCTTATGTCTATGCTGGTGCTGAGTCTGACTGGAGTTGACCATTACAAAAGAAGGCATCGGTGCTGTTTACCAGGAGGAGTCCAGCACTGGGCATTTTGCTCTTCTTTTCCCGTCTCTGAGTGCTGTCTTTCCCTTTTTCTCCACTGATGACAACTTTCAGAAACATCACCTAGAGGAGTGAATAAGGGAAGATTTTACTAGATTTGTAGCATTTGTACACTATTGTAATGTTTCATTTTTCACATCTCTCAAAGTCTTAAAACTATGCCATTCTTAGTAAAAGACAGATTAAGATTTAGGGACTGTGGGTAACTTCAGGCACCTCTAGGCTTACGTCATTCAGATTTTTATCCATAGCAGGACCATAACATGGGTTTTGGGACTTTTCCCCACCAACTTTTATTTTCTGTCTCTTCCGTCACTGATTTTTATCTGAAAACCTCTTTCAGTTCAAGTGGGCCTGGTGATTCTGCCTGGCTGCTTATTTCAGGCAGATCTCCTGCTTCTGAGGACCTGACTCCCATTCCCAGTTGCTTCCTGGATTGGGTTTTCTGTTCAGGTGTGCTTCATGATTAGGCTAGCAATCTTGATTTAGCACAATGTGCATAAACATTTTCCCTGAGAAATGGGTAGGTCAGGATGCAAGTTTAGGACTCTCTGTCTTCCCCGAACTCTGGGAAAAACATTCCATTGTCCTTTATCCTCTTTCATAAGATATTTTTTTATTGATTGATTTTTTTAATGTGAAAAGAACTATGGCTTAATAAGCTCTGGGACTTGGAAAACAATATCAGGAAGACTAAATAACTTGGAATAGTGTAACTTCGAAGGTAGAGTGGCCTGGGACTAGATCTTGACAGTGCTGAGATTTAAGTTTTATAAGCTTGAAAAATGTACTGTTATCTCAGTCTCAAATCTGGCATCTATAAGAGGGTGCTGATACTTTTTTTCATCCCAGACTTACTGTGACATTAGGTAAGATAGTGTATATTAAATTCTTGTGATACTATGTGTCTAGCACACAGTGTTCTATAACTATTTTCTAAAAATTATTGAGTATTTACTATTTTTGTTTGTTCTGTTTTGTTTTTTATTGGTACTGAGAATCGAACTGAGGACCTTGCACTTGCCAGGCAGGCACTTATGCTGCTGAGCTATCTCCCCGGGCCACTTACTACTGTTATTGTGCTAATATGCTGGTTTACAGGTAGGCAGTAGGCTTCTGAGCTATAACCCTGGCAACACTGATTTACATTAATCAGGATGATTTTGACTGCAAATAACAAGAATACACCCCCTCACTGGCTTAAAAATGAAGAATTACTTTTCTCACACAGCAAAAATTTCCCAAGGTAGTATGCCTCCAAGATTAGTGCTTAAGATGCTTAAGGACCTAGGTAATTTCCATCCTATTTCCTGCCATATTTGTCAAACCAGTGTCCTCAGGCCAGCTGCCTTCATGACTATAAGGTAGTTTTCATATAACCAGGACCACAACCAGGCACAAAAGCATTGAAGCAAGAGACTGTGACTATACACATCTTTTTAAGAAAAAAGTGATTCACTCATTTCTGGCCGAAAGATAAGCACGTATCAAATTTGCCTTCCTGCCAAAAGCAACTAGAAAACAAGACAAAATTTATGAAATGACTGTTTTCCAACATTATACATAGGCCAAACAGGGTAATCCCTCACTGAAAAAGTACACACTACCTACCCCTGCGATTACCTGATGTGGTGTCTGTAAGTACTTTCTGATCCACAGAGCAGAGAGGAGACCTAAGCAGATCCCAGCAGTCTCTCTGTGTTTGGGACAGAGATCAGAATTTGGGAAGGTGGACATTGGGATCTGTGGGGCAAGGTAGTGGACAGAAGAAAGCTACACAGAGGAAAACCCTAAAAGTGAGTGAATACTAAGCTGCAGACTTAGATTAAAACTGTGCAATATCAGATTCATAGATCCAAAGATCTGTGAACTGAGCAGGTCCCAGTGTCAGCACTGGAATGGGAATTGTTTGTATTTCATTCAACCAGAGAGGAAAATTTCCATTCAACACCTGAGCTTTCAGTGGAGTGTCAGGAGGGTCAGCCCTTAAGATTAAGTTAAATTTAGATAAAGGCTGTCTGCCTCAACAAAACTTAAAACACAACCCTAGAGAAGAATCATGATCCTCTCTGAATGATTTAGCTGTTTATCCATACAAAGCTCTTCAGTTTTTAAAGGAAGACAGCAAATTCATTAATTCAATCAAGTAACAGTTACTAGCATCTGATAGTTACCCAAATGCAAAGAAACAACAACAAAAAGAAATGTGACCCATACCAGGAGAAAATCAAACAGTAACACACTTAAAAGTAAGAGCCATGCTGGAATTTTCCAAAAAGGAACTTAAATATTTATTATCAATATGTTCAAGAAGTCAAAATAAAACATAAGGATAAAGAAGACATAAATGGAACTAAAAGAATAACATGATTGAACCTCTAGCTCTGAAAATAAACATAAATATTTTTAAACAAATTCGCTTGATGGGTTTAACAGCATAAACAACATTGCAGAAAAGTGAATGAATGAACTTAAAGATGCAGCAATATAAACTACCCACACTGAAGCGCAAACAAAATACAGTCTGAAAACAATGAACAGAGCAGAGCCATAGTGACCTAGAGGATAATCTCAGCTGACTAACACACATGTAATTGTAGTCCACGGAAGAATAAAAGGCAAGGGGGGCAATAAAAATTGAAGAAAGAATTGCAAAGACTTTTCAAAAGTTGATAAGAATGATAAACCACAGATCCTAAAATATTTGTAAGCCCCATACAACATAAACCCAAAATCAATGCAAAATTTGTCAGAAACAAATACTAAAAATAAGTTATAAGGAGGAAATCTTAAAAGTACCCAGAAAATATTTTGAGATACGAATGACAGCTGATGTCTTGTCAAAAGCACTGCCAACTAGAAGACACGGAAGTAATAAAGTGGAGGAAAAAAAGAAGAAACTTTGCCAAAGGAATGAAGAAGAGAAAGAAGGAAGGAAGGTAAGAAAAAAAGGAGAAAAGGAAAAGGAAAGGAAGGAAAGAAAAAGAGAGGAGGAGAGAGGAGAGGAGAGGACAGGACAGGACAGGAAAAGAAACCCTGCAAACTAGAACCCTATGTATAGGGGAAATATTATCCCTCAAAATGAAGTCAAAATAAACACATTTTCAGGCAAATAAAGGTAGAGAATTTATTGCCAGCAAACATAACTACAAGAAATGATGAGAAGTTCTTCCAGAAGGAAACATACCACATGGAATTTGAGAACCATACAAAGAAATATACAGGTCTGGAAATGTAAACTTTAATTAACTTAAAAGGCTTCTTCTTATTTTAACCTCTGGTTTTTTAAAAGATTATCAAGTGTTTAAAGCAAAAATAATCTAGAATGAAATTTTTAAAAAGTCTGGTTCCATCCCTAATCCCTGCAGGTGTCCCTGATGGCTCTATCTGTGAGCATGCCAATTCTAAACTCATTCGCACAAATTTCATTCCTCCTCAGGGATTATCTTAAGGGAGTGTAAATAAGGAACTTCTGACCAATGAGATTTGAGAAGTTTTTGGGGTAATGATTCTTACAAAGGTCTTCTGTGTCTTATAGGATATGCCTGTTTCAGCTTTCTTTTTCCCTTTTTCTTTTTTCTTTTGGTACAGGGATCAAACTCACAACCTTGTGTTTGCTAGGCATAAATTGATGAATTTTATTATATGTAAATTATACCTTAATAAAACTTAAAAAATGAAAAAGCAAAAGAAAGCAAAAACAATACCCTGAATAAAAACAAGAGTGTGAAAGGGCAGGAGAAATGGCAGTGTTGTGAGCCTCTCATATCCTTCAGGGGTCTCCAGCCCCGACACCCATCATGGCTGGTTAGCAGCAAGGCTGCCCGCCAGGGTGTGAGCCGGCAAAGCCTCCTCTGTTTCAGCCTTTCTCCATTATGTGCACTACTGAGCTCAGATCCGCAGTGGTGTTGGAGACTCATAGGAATGCAAATGGAATTCTACTCTGGACTTTGTATGCGAAAGATCCAGGTTACATACATGCTCGTTTGAATTATCCCTAAACTATCTCCCTCTCATCCTTTTGGGGGAAAAACTTGTCTTGCACAAAACCAGTCCCTGATGCCAAAAATGTTGGGGACTTCTATACATGACCTGGTATGATGTGACATGGTGCTAGACCATGACAAGACTGCAAATACAGAAACCACTTTTTAAAGACAGGGATTCACTATACAATTCAGGCTGTCCCTGAACTCACTTGGTAGCCCAGGCTGGCCTCAAATTTGCCGTGATCCTTCTGCCTCTCAAGTGCTGGATTACAGGCCATATACCATCACAACTGGCTCAGAAACTACTTTTTAAAAGAGTAGCAAAGAGGTATAACTGACAACAAAAAGAAGAAAGAAAATGGATTACTAAGAATAAAAACAAAACTCAGGAGCTAGGGGTATAGCTCTGTGGCACAGCGCCTGACTGGCAAGAGTGAGGTCATGAATTTAATCCCTAGTACCAAACCAAAGCAAACCAAACAAAACCAAACTCAATCCGAGTAAAGGCAGAAAAAGAAGAATGTGATAAATAAGACAAATAAGAAACAAAAGTACAAATACAATCATAAATCTAAATAGTCAACCATACTGAAATTATGTGAAATGTAAATGTTTTGATCACCTTAATAATAAAGCAGAGATTGTCAGCATGGAAAAGAAAACAAAACCCAACTCTGTATTATCTACTAAAAATACATTTTAAATATAAAGTCATATGTAAAGATGAAAAAAGATATCCAATAAAGTGCAAGAAAAATATCTGCAAAATATGTATTTGATAAAGTTTTTTGTTTATTTGTTTGTTTGTTGAACTAAGAATCAAATCCAGGGCCTCACCCTGCTAAGCAGATGCTCTCTACCCCTGAGCTAGCTCTCTTATCCCCTAATAAATTGTTTGGATTCAAACTATAACATGAACTTTTGTAATTCATCAGTGAGGGCAACCCAATTAAAATGAAAAAAAAATATTGTAATAGGTATTTCACTGAAGAATATATAGAAATCACAAATAAGTGCATGAAAAAATGATATAAAAATACTCCATATGATTTATTAATAGGAAATTGCACATCAAAATCACAATGAGGTATCATATACCCACTAGAAAAGCTTAAACTAAAAATGTCTGATAAGGGCAGGGTAACCCAAAACTTTCATATATTTTATATATGATATTGTTAATTTGGAAAAGGGTTAAGCAATATCTTATAGATGTAGACATAAATGTACTGCATGGTCCAACAATTTCACTCTCAGGATATTCTTTAAGGAAGGAGACATGTCCACATAAAAACTTGTTTTTGAATATTCATAATACACTTACTTATAATATAGCTTAAGACTAGAAGAATTCCAAATATGCATCAACTAGTGAATGGACAAATAAATAAAAAATAGAAATATGAACAATGCAATACTGCTTCACACTAAGAAAGAATGATTTGTTCCCATATGCAGCAACATACACCAATCTCAAGAGCATTATAGTATGCAAAAGAAGCCATATATCCATATGAGCCAACTTATGTGAAGTAGCTGAGAAGGTAAGATGATAAGGAGAGAAATCATACCAGTGATTGCCAGAGCTTAGGTGTGGAGGGAAGGGGCTGAGTTTACACAGGCACAGGAGACTTACAGAGAAAATGGAAATATTCTCTAACACAATGTGAAAGGGGTCTAGATTTTTCAACACATCAAATTATACACATAAATTGATGAATTTTATATGTAAATTATACCTTAATAAAACTTAAAAAATGAAAAAGCAAAAGAAAGCAAAAACAGTAACCTTCAAATAAAAACAAAGCAAAACAGTAATCATAAGAAAGCTGAAACAGGCCAGGGATTTAGCTCAGCGGCATAAGCACCTGCCTAGCAAACACAAGGTTGTGAGTTTGATCCCTGTACCAAAAGAAAAAAGAAAAAGGGAAAAAGAAAGCTGAAACAGGCATATCCTATAAGACACAGAAGACCTTTGTAAGAATCATTACCCCAAAAACTTCTCAAATCTCATTGGTCTTCTTAGAAGTTCCTTATTTACACTCCCTTAAGATAATCCCTGAGGAGGAATGAAATTTGTGCGAATGAGTTTAGAATTGGCATGCTCACAGATAGAGCCATCAGGGACACCTGCAGGGACTAGGGATGGAGCCAGACTCCTTTGAAGCTTGCAGTCAGTAGAAGGGAGTAGAAACGCAGTACTGACGCTCAGTTAGAAAAAAGGGGAACTGTAGCAGTCATAACAAGTAAGACCCAAATTTGGGTTGCTCGACACCACGGAAACTCACACATCAGTAAGGCAGCAGAACAGTGCAGGCATGCCTGGTTGGAAGCAGCTTTCCTCCATGCAGATCAGGAACCCTTACTTTCTCTCTTTTTTATGGATCTGTCATTTCAGGCCCCTGCTTCCACATAACACAGGGGAAAAGAGCAGCAAGCAGCTTCACAATGACGCCTGAGCCTGACCCTCCTGGAAGTTATACATGCAGTTTCTGCTCAAACTAGCTAGCCCCTGCCAGGAGAGTGATCACCAGTGGAAACTGCACATTGAGGAAAGGGATACTCACCTCGGTGGCAGCTGGTTGTTATGGTTTATAGCTAGATGTCCCCCCTAAATCCTCATGCACTTGTAGGTGGGGCTTGGGAGGTGATTGGATCATGGGACTGTGGCCTGGAAGCATACATTTTCCTCCCAGTACCCTCATCTGTCTCTCTCTCTCCACCCCGGCTGCCGTGCCACGTGGCATTTTCCCGCCATGCACAACTGCCATGTGCCACCTTGCCTTGCAGCCAGCCAACTATGGACTGAAGCCTCTATGAACTGTGAGCTAAAATAACCAACTCCTCCTTTAAATTGCCTGTGTCAGATATTTTATTAGAAAAGTTACTAAGAAGCTGATTGTCTGTTACATCAGGTGTCAATCTGGGCACATTAAGTGCTGACTGACCAACCAACAGCTCCCGTCAGATTTGTAGCAATTTTTTCTATTTATCTCCCAAATAGTTCTTTGCTATATATGTTATTATTGCCTTTATTTCATGGATCTGGGACCTGAGGTACAGAAAAGCTAAGTAAGTTACCCAGGGTCAGATAGCCTTTGTTAAGCAGCAGAGTTCCCCCCATGCTGCATGATTCCATGTGTAACTCTCTCAACCTCTAGTCCATCGCATGATGGAAAACATCATCGTATCTTGTCATGTTTGACTTCATCATTAGGCTCAAGTGAGCATCAAAAAGGAAACTTTAGAGAACGGCTCACACAGATGAGGAACAGGTGTCGGTTTCATGCTCGCCCAGTGCTTCTTCGTCCCAGTATCGTGTGCATTGTGGAAACACTACACCAGCCTCTTTTCTAGAGTAATGTTGACCTACGTCTGGGCAAATAAGAAAAGTTTAGTATGAGTACGCCTGTTCAAATAAACCCCATATTCTCATTTGGCAAGAATGACTGGTTCCCATGACTCCTATGACAGGACACCTCTGTAGCCTAGCCCCTAAGTATCAAGTGTTTCCCTGTCTTTTTTTTTAATTAACATGCAGTGAGATGTGTTAAGTTTTTGTTTTTCATCATAGTCTTTGTTCCTGCCATTCTATATTCCATACACATGCCAAAGAATATAGCAGAAAGATGTGTAAGTGTGGGAAGGAGCCAGGAAAGGGGATGGCTGGCAAAGAGCTTTAACAACTTATTGGGATAGGGATGCAGTCTAAACTTTTCCCCCAGGGCTGAAGAACCCAAGACCTCTCATGTGCTAGGCAGGCGATAATCCCCCTCCAGATCTCATTTTTTATTAAAACAAAACACTACTGTTCCTATAGCTGTCATTGTTACCTGAGCAGGTTGAAGGAAAAGAATACTCAATCAGTTCATTCTGATAGAAACTCCTTCATGTATTAACTGAAATGTGTTCATAGTGAACGAATTTTTTTCCCCTGGAAGAGACAGCTTCACTAGAAACATCAACCTCTTTAATCGGAGATCAGAAATTTTCCAGGTTAATTTATTTTAAGCAATTTCCTGTTGGAAATCTAGCACAAAGGTGGTCATACCCTCCATTTGAAGTGTTAATAATTCACATTATAACTCCAGTCAGTTCCCTTGCTTGCAGTTGAAGTACTTTGTAGAATACTTTTACTATTCCATAATCACTTAAATATGCTGTGTAATCTTGGACTACGTCCTCAAGTTCTCTGAGCCTCATCTCTGAGCCTTATCTGTAAAATGAGGAGTGGGGCTAGATCAGTGGTTTTAGATTATTTTTTCCCCAAATAATATTTGACATACAGAAGTGACAAAAGCAGAATTACCTTTGATTGGAACTGAAACAATTGAGCTGACCTGCTGTGGATTCAGCAGTGTTCTGGATGCCTGATGTACAAAGCTGAGAGAAATAGCCTCTTCTCTCATTCTAGTGGAGAAGATGGTCTTGTCAGCTTTAGGCACCTGGGCTCAGGCAGGTGCAGACCAGAGGGTGGAAGAGGTTAATGCTCACGGGGCCAACTTCTGCTGTACAGGAGGAGAATCAGGGAGTAAATGTCTGAGCTTCTGTCCCCTGCAGAGAAAACACTAAGCTCATTATACACAGCTTGAACACAGCAGTGATCACCTCAATAACACACTTTATTGATTTCTTCTTGCTCTCTGACTTGCTCTGTTACCTCATCGCTGCTCTCTGAGACATTCTTAAAACTGTGTCTCAAACTTTGCTTTCTGGGAAACCTTACCTAACAGAGTAGCCACGAGAAGTATGAAAGGTATTTCTAAGGGGGAGACAACAGAGTACATGGGAGGGATGAGCAGCTCAAGGTTGGCTGGGCCAGTTCTGCTCTCTGCAGACAGCAGCACAGCATGGGGATGGAGCACTGTTCAGCTCTCCCTGGACATGCTTAGACTACTCCAGCCCCTCAACTGCTGTGCGCTCAGAAAGAGCAAACCACTCTCATATTTGCTCACCCAGTGCAGATGGATGAAGAGTGCACATTCCTAGGGTGAGGAGAGGAGCATCTACTGTCTGCTGCTCCTGGAAACAAGGTCCCTTGTCAGGACCTCGGGCCTCTGTGCATTGCAGCACCCTCCCTCATTTCACATTGCAACCTTGTACCGGGAGCAGAGCTCATTGTGATTATTACCTCATTGTATTTAATCTGCAAATGAGGAGTTAGAATTGAAAATGTCTTTTGAAGGGCAGGAGGTGTGGACTAGAATTTTACAGTAAGGAGAGTAGGAAACCAGTCTCTCTGTTGTCAAACCACATGAACACAGTAAAGGAAATGGAAATGAGAAAAAAAAAAACTAAATAAAGGAAAGGAAAAATAATGGCTGCAACATAAGGAGGGGGTGAATGGGAGGTTATGCAAAATTCATGCTGTGAGCCCTATTCGTGTGCTGGAGGGAAGCCACAGCTTCGGCTATAAGATTTCTAATCACTGTGTACCATGAAAAAGAACACATTTCCAGTTACAATATTTACAGAGTCCATAAGGTGAAAGGAAACCAGTCACTAAGGAAAAGCACAACTATTTGTGAAACTGAGACCAGAATAAAATCTTTCCATCGTTTTAAGCAGAGAGGCGACTGCCTGATGTAATGAAGAGCATCTATAAACCTGTCCTTACGGGAAACACAATGACAAAGCACGCAGGGCTGTTTCTTAGGACACCCTCAGTACAGGCTGATGGCATCATGACAAAGTGCAATTCAGTAAAAGCAACTTTATGGGGTGCTGATGAGATATATCCAGGTATTAAGCTCACTGATGTTCCACTTAATTCATAACTCCAGTCAGATCTTAGGGTTTCTGGAAAGATGTACAAGCTGCAGTTTTTCTAGTAATCTTCCATAAATATTGTTTTGCTCAGCAAAGCTTTTAAAAACACTGAAAGACAGTAAGTTTGAAATCATTATCTAGATGATAGCTGTTCTTGCGGGTGGTTAAGCACAAAACCACCTGCTCTGCCCATCAGTCAGCCTTGCTGGGGCGGACTTGACGTGCCCTTGAGAAGACACTGGGGCCCTCCAGGACAGCCAGCCCTCGCTCCAGCAGAACTCCTGTGTTTTCTGGGGCAGAGGACCTAGGATTCTCCTCAGAAAGTAACCTTGCACTCTAAGGTGGAGGTCAGTGGGTGGCATAGTAATTTTAGACTCACAAGAATACTGAGGCTGGTGCGGCAACATCACTTCTGCTGTGGGGATGAAAATCCATTTAGTAAAATACCAATGAAGTGACGATGCAAAATGCCACTCTTTCTACACCCTCCGAGACAGACAGAATTGCAAAAATGTATTCTATAGCTAAGTCACTAGCTGAAGGGAATTTTGAGCTACAAAGGGGATAAAAATGGGAAGAAATCCACTGACAGTGATGCTTGATTTAGAATAGCAATTGATCTGCAAGGTCCTTCAAGTAGGAAACAGGTAGGGAGCAAGGGAGTAATCCTAATTGCTCACAGTGTAACAGTGGCATCTACATAGAGGACCTTCACTGTCCTCTAACACTGCAGGGCAAACATCCAGCCCAGGCTTAAGTTAGGGGAAAAGGAAGACAGTAGAGACAAACACTGTTCCGGGGGAGAGTGACTAGAAAGAGTCCAGTTTGCCGTACTTGGATGAATCATGATCTTGAGGTTATAAAGATAACCTTTACTCTCTATCTGCTTGATTGTGGCCCCACCTCACATAGTGACCCTTGGCTGGCTCCTTTTATAGGTAGGCTTTTAACCTCTGGCTGGTGTTTGTTAGGAAGGAGGGCACATCCCTATGTAATGCAGCTCTCATCAGCATTAAGCCAACTCTGGTTATTACAAACTAGGCCAATTCTTTCTCAGCAAATTTTACCCAGCGACTCATTGGAATATCCCAAAGCAAAGTTGCTTCTCTTTTAAAACACAAAACTTCAAAACAACCTGAGGTAAGCTTACTCAGACTTCTCCAGTCTTCTAAAAGAAACTGTTTCCATATAAGGCATGGATGAGAGCTACCAGATTAAGCAAATAAAATTAAAGATGAGTATCAGTTGAATTTGAGTTTCAGATAAACAAAGAATACTCTTTTAGTATAAATGTGCTCCATGTAATGTTTGGGACATACTTAATACTAAAAATGTGTTTCTTATTTATCTGAAAGTTAAATTTTACCGGGCTTCCTGTTTCTTTGGTTTCTTTTTAAAACAGGGTCTTGCTCTGCTCACTTTGTAGCCCAGGCTGGTCTCAGACTTGCAAGGATCCTCCTTCCTCAGCCTCCCAAGTGCTGTGATTACACCACCACACCCGGCTGGCTTCAGGTTTTTAGCTGGCAGCTCTACTCTGGTTGCACTGTAGCTGATAAATACTGTTCTCAAAATGTAGTGTCTAAAACTTAGTTTTTAGTACAACCCAGAAAAACAACTCAAGTGGAGTGGGAAGGTTTTTGTGTAAAGGCTGATAAAGACCTTTCTGAGAGGAGATAAAGACCCTTTCCTCACATTCTAGTTGGGTGTCAGGGAAAGACAAGCACCTTTGAGCACCACAATATTTGGCAGCCATGGCCTTGGGTAAAGAGTCTGTTCCAACACTGAGAAGTCCTCATCAGTTATTTCTAGCCTCTGTAAATGTTGGCACTGTCTTTTTACCCTTGATTCTGCTGCCTCTATTCATTTTAGGAGATACCTTCACCCTGAAGGTACCATATTTGTGCTACTCTACATAATGGTTTATGCTTCTCTTCTCTTGATTACTTTTGTTCCATTTCCTTTGCTCTCCTGGTATCAGTCGTCCCCCATCCTCTGCAGAGTTCCAGGACTTCTGACAGAAGAAATAAGATGGCCTTTCTACGGCCAGCACCCCGGACTATTAATGCGGCCTTGTTCTCATAGAGGACCTCTGCTGCAAAAGCCTCCTCCTATTCTATTTCATTTTCTCCTCATGTTCTTCCACCCTGATGTCCCTGAAAGAGTAATGTTGTGTGGGTGGGTGTTCGCCATGGGGGCGGTGTTTGGGAGACATTTTTGACTTGGCGAAGGTGGGTGGTTCTGTGTCACCTAAGAACATTTTCTCCATCACCTCCCACTTTAGTCTTTTAGGGCTGAAGAAAGGATGAGGAGGACTAAAGCGGGGAGGTCACAGTGCAGGAGCATCCCTTAGGTACACTGTACTTAGCACGCTCCCTTGTTGACATCAGGCTCCTCCCACATTCCACAGTTTCCCCCGTAGCTCCACCAGAATGGAATGACTCACTCATCAGAAAATGCAGGCTTTCTCTACCCACTCCTTTATAATTCTAATTCTATTCTCTACAGGTTCTATGATTGAATATCAAATTTATTTTTGATTACATATCCCATGTTTAATTCACTGGGGAAATGTACACCTGGACACAGAACAAGGAATCTTTTGAATGCAAATGATTTTGGAAATGAAGTATTGTCATGGAACACACTTCTTCCTCTGAAACCCTGCTGAAGTTGAGGCCAGGTCATTTGGAGACCATGTGGATAGGCTGGTGGCTGTGGTAGGGTTCACAGAGCAATCTTGGCAAATCTTAGAAGAAACAGAAAATTCATTCATTGAGAACCTTTTAACATTTTCACCCTCCAAGTTAAATGATATTGTGTTTTCGTCTGATCTCAACAGGAAAGCCTGTTTGGTGGGGATAGAGTGTGAGGTCCCCTATAGTAATTTAAGAGAGCTAATGCCTGCTGTTACGTATGTGTAACCAAGAGATAATTAGGCTGGTATAGGCAGCACCCTGCAGCTCATTGTGATGGGGCAAAGGAAACCTAAGCTAGGATTCATTCTCCTCCTTTGAACGAGAGTGAGTTAGAATTACTGGAGAGAAAGTCTTCCTGCCCCAGGCAAGCCTATACACTACTCAAAGCGAGAACAATTAGTTAAGCAAAAGGTTACCTGTATAGGAGGTTACTCACTCGGCAAATAAGTGCCTGTCATGAGAAAAGCATCATCAGATTCCAGAGTCATGAACTAACATATTGTGCTGGTGCCCCACAGTGCTGGGTTTCTTTAGTTAGAAACATAGTTTATCTGTTGGTAGTCGAGGCCATGCAAAGGGTGTGGTGGCTATGACCAACTGAATGGAGCATTAATTTGCACTTAACTTTCTATTACAAAAATGGCCCTTTAGTTGATTCTCATGACACAGATGACTTCCCACCACCAACAGGCAACTACTGGAATCCCCATTCTACTTGCCTTACCTGGAAAGTTTTATTTATTCTTACCATTTCCATGGCTCACCACTATTATTTGCATTACTATAAGATGCACCATTAATTAATAACACCTGGTGGTGGGATGTGAGGATATGTGTCCCTGTTGCATATAATACATATTTATTATAAGTTCGTTCCCATCTGTACCTCATAGCTAACACCTACTGATCTTTCAAGACTCCTTGCAGAGTCAGGGCTACTGTGAAGCTAATTCTGTAAATATTCCCCAGCTCTACCCACTCCCTGATCGTGTCATGACTGGACCTTGAACATATTGCCACACCTACTGCTACAACTATTAAGTCACCATATGTGGACTGTGAGTACCTCAATGACAGGAACAGTCTGACTCACCCCTGTTGTCCAAGGATCTAGTCCAGTGTTGGCAATAATTCACTCTATAAATGTATGATGAGGACCTACTATGTACCAGGGGCACTACTAGGCTTGTATTTGTCTGTTAAACAAGAAGTTTGGGGATTTTTATTTTAAGCAAAAATCGACTCTGCAGTAACATGGAAGATGTGAGATTTATGCCAGACTCTCAAATCCTTGCATTATTAGGGAGAGATGGAAGCAGTATGTTGCGCTAAACCAGCTATGATCAAGTGCCACAATGTGCAGTCCAGACAGTAAGCATTCTGTGTGGTGAAGACAGGGAAAGACTGATGAGCCCACATCTGAGCTTTAGGGGGAGATAGGTCTTTCTCTATAACTCCAGCATCTTTCAACCTTTAACATCAGGATTATATCCAAGGTTGACGGAATGAAATAAAAGAAAACTGCAGAAATTCTAGGAAGGATTGGGAGAGGCAGGGAAAAGGAATCACTGGGTAGGTGAACAGCTCCGGGAAAGGCTTGACAGCAGGAATGGAATCAATGTTTTTTTTTAATTAACATAGGTGTAACAGTTACCAAGTTAACCATATTAAATGTGCCATTCAGTGCATGCATTAAGTACATTCATTACTAGAGTAAATTTTTTTGGGGGGGGGTACCGGGGATCAACCCACAATCCTGCACTTGCCAGGCTGGCACCCATGCCATCGAGCTAAACCCCCGGCCCTACCAGAATAAATTTTTAAAAATTATTTTATTTGTACATGTTCAGTTTGTGTAGCTCACCGTTGTCTTGGAGAATGATTACATCTGCATATTGCAGTATGTTTCTTTCTTTTCTTTTTTTTTTTTTGAAACCTCCTTCCCCTTCCCTTCTGCTCCTTCCCTCTGCCTTCAGTTCCCCTATCCTATTTTTCATTCTCTCTGACATTATTTGTCTTAGCTCGTTATGGCATATAATATTTATATTAATTTGGGCTACTATGCTCTTCTATATGGAATATCTTTATTATTATTTCCCCTTCATCTCTTCCACTCTGCTTACCTGTGTTTCCCTATTGCAAGAGATCCATCCCTTCGTCCTTTTCTGTCTATCCATTATCATTTTCTTTATTTGTACTTTGCATCACTCATCTGAGAAATACTACACAGTTCTGAAGCTTGTGTGCCTGGTTTATTTCACTCCACATTACATTTCCCCTGGTGCATTCCTTTTCTTACAAAAATCTCATGTATCATTCTTTATGGCCGAGTAGTATTCCAGTCAATATAGATACTACTATTTCTTTATCCAATCATCTGTTGATGGGTATACAGGCTGCTTCCAGGATTTATTTCTCTTGCAGCACAATCTTCCAATTGTGCTGCAAGAGAAATAAATTTTTTAAGTTTTTTTTTTCTAAAGGGTTTGTTTATACCTGGCTAAAAACACATTGGTTCATGGAAATAAGAAACACTTGGTGGAAATAAAAATGCACCGAACAAAAAGCAGGATTTTCCCTCAGTTTGGGCAGTTTCCCCGTGAACATCTGTGATTTGTTTTGCACATACAGTATTAAAGGCGCGGGGGGGGGGGCGCGGGGCGGGCAGTGTTCCTTGTGTGTCTGAATCATCCTTGGGAAGTTTCAAATGAGGAACTCCACATTTTTTACCCCAATACTGAGGAGACTTTTGTATTCAAATCAAAAGCACAAAACTATGGAGAGGTGGGTTTTCCACTTAAAGCAAAAAATATAGTCGTAAAGACTACATTCCATATGAAGCACCACAGCTATTAATAGTTTGAATTGTTCAGAAGGGGTGTCAGTGGGAAGCTGTTCTAATTGCTGCCACAGGCACCCTGGGGAGGAGGGCGGCGTGTGGGTAGGAAGAGGGCCCAGCTACAGGGTGCGAAGGGCGGCCGGGCAGATTCCCCTTCTCCGAGTCCTTGAGCAAACACCCAGGCCTGTGCCATAGACGGGTTTGGCCCGCGGCCCTCCAAGCCTTCCCAGCTTTTTCAGTCCTTTCTGAACAATTGCTAGCGAGGGCCCCACGGCTGCCAGTTGGGGTGCTGAGCTCGGCAGCAGGGCAGACGTGCGTGAGGGTTCCTGGGTGGGGCACAGCAGGCACGCGAGGGGGGCTGCAAAGTGCAGGCACGCGCGGCGTCCCAGGACAGGGCCAGAGCGGTGCGATTTCCAGACGTGGTCTCCAGGCCGCCTCTGGAGGCCGGAGCAAAGTTTCCAGCGGGCCCGGCCCGGAGGGGAAGGGCGGTGGGCTGGGGCGCCCCCTCCCCTTTAAGCGGGTGGCGCGGCACCTCCTCCGTTACCTGGCGGGGAGGGGCTTGGGAAAGTTTGTGTTTGTTGTTGGCGAAGCGCCGGATGGGAGGCGCGGGCGGGCGGGCGGGCGCTGCGCGTCTTCCCTTTTGCTTTCGGGAAGCGGTCGGGGCCGCACGTTGGGATCGGCGGGGCCGGCTCCGGGGCCAGCCGGCTGGCGGAGGAGGGCGGGGAGGAGCGGGCGGGCGCGAGCGGAGCCCGGGGCGCACGTACGCCCCGGCGCTGGGATTTCTCTGCTCGCGAGGAGCGCGGAGCAGGCGCGCGGCCCAGTGGAGGAGCGCGGACTCTGGAGCAGCCGGAGCTGGAGGAGGAGGAGGAGGAGAGGCGGCGGGGAAGGAGGAGGAGGAGGGGGGCAGCCGCTCCCGCCGGCGAGCATGGGGCGCCTGGCGCCGAGGCCGCTGCTCCTGGCGCTCCTGTGGCTTGGTAAGTGCACGCGCCTCGGCGGGGCGCGGGGAGCCTCGGGGTGGGGGTGCCCGGCGGGGCGCGGCCGCAGCTACAGCGCGCGGCCTGGGGCGCCAGGGGTGCCTGGCGGCTCCCGAGAGACCCGGCCCCGGGGCTCGGGCGCCCTGCGGGGAACGGCTGCGGGGCGGCCCCGAGCCCGGCGCTCATCCGCCGGGCCCCGCGCGGGGCGCGTGGAGTCACCTCGCGGGGCCGAACCTCGCCCCTCCATGTGCCGGGGGAGTGGCCCGTGGCGGCTTCCCCGCAGCCCTCCCTACCTGTTGGCCGGCCTGAGCTCGGCTCACCTTGAACTCCCGGCCCGGAAGGTGCCTGCGGTTCCTGGCCAGCGTCCCCAGCTCCAGAGCGGAAATCGGAGCCTTTGATCTGCCCTGCCGACGCCGCGACCCCCCGGATCGCTCTGCACACACGCCAGCCCACGCTGAGATACCTTGCGGGGAAGCGGGAGAATCCACCAACTTCCTTCTAGGAAGGTCATGGGTAGCCCAGAGCGTTACAATGACAATAGGCGTGCGATATTTTCAGTCATTGTAGTGGTGGCTAAATGTGCCTCAGCCTTGTCTTTCAGCTTTTCTTCAAGCAGCTGAGACATTTGTACACAAAAGACCAAGGAGCCCAGTTCTCCAACTTTTCTACCTGTTACTTTTCCACCCTTACCGTGTCCGCAGTCTTTACCCTCTAGAAACCCGTGGTGTCTCTTGATTATTTGGCCCAGAGCCCTACCCCCACCCAAAGAATCATTTATCTTTTTTTCCTCTCCATTTTCCATTCACACCACACATCCTTACCCAGATACATGCGGTGATCTTATCCAGCCACAAAAATAATGTTGACTGGGTGCCCACCATGGTACAAGAGGGCTGACCCCTAAATATTTTGATTTTCCTTGATGCCTGTGGTCAGTATCAACCCAGACATGCCCAATCCTGAGACCACAAGTTCTTTCCTAGACACCTAGAGAAGATAGATCTGAATCTTGCAGAGCATGTGATGTGATGCATGTTGTATGTCCCAGCCAGTCCCCAGCTGCACACAGGGTAAATGATTGCTGTGCTCTTAGGGCGGCAGGTCCCAGTAGAGGACTTCCACAGCCACTCCCCTCCTGCTGGCACCAGGGTTACAAAGGTCCCAGCCCCCACGACTCCTACTGCGAGTGAACCAGCCTTTCTAGCTGCTTCTGTGTTCCTTCACTACTGAGGGATTTTCTCAAACTCACTACATCAGAGAGTTCATCTAGGCACAGTGCATTAGCTACCACCCAGTGCAGAAAGCTTCTGCATCTTTTCTCAGCTTTATAGTCTCTCCTCTGTGTCCTGTGCGTCTAGGGCTTTTAATATTTCCCTCGCACTCTGGGAATCTTGTGAGCTCTGTTGTTTGTACATTGCTGATGACAGTCTGCATTGTTTGATTGGCTTATGTGTCCAAGTCAAGCAGGGCCATGGTCTCTGACTGCACAGATAGTACACTGGACAATTCTGTGGAGCTGCTGTTCACTTCACAGTTAATATGAATGACTTCCCTAGAATTTTCAGTTTACAACCCTTGCACCAGTTACCATGGTAGGGTAGAAGTTTGGGAAAAATGTCCTTCAGTATCTGATATAATAGAAAAGGGAGAGAGAGCAAAAAGACAGCAGCAAAGGAAATAAATAGTGGGAATGGTATAGCTTGGGGAAATCTTGGCTTTATACTAGTGTGTCCTGCCCTGGCTAGTTGTCACATGTTAACTATACAAGAAATTCGTGGTATCACCTGCCAATGCCTTTATACCTTCCCGTTCTGGAAACCACTCAGTTCATGTTCTACCTGACATCTTTGACCTCAGACTCTTACCTGATACAGCTTCTGTCTGACCTCTTGGAAGCCCCCCCCCCCCCTCTGGTAACTGTACTGATTCCTGAAACCTAGTATGTTGATAAGCAGATTGTATTTCCTCTGGTATTGCAGCCAGCATAGAATCTTGGTGTCATTGCTCTCTGTGACCTGTGTGTTCATACTATCTCTCTATTCTGTGGGTTTACTATTGCAAAGGTTGGAGCTTTTTCCTCTCTTTCTGGTTTCTACAGCTACTACTTAGGCTGAGGTCCTGAAGGTTCCTCCCACAGATAAATTCTCATATCTTCCCTGTTGAGCTTTTCCTCCTGCCTCCTCCAAACTGATTATTTTCCCAAAGTATCATTTGGGGCTCCCATCAGTCCCTTACGTTTTTTCTTCCAAGGAGATGATGCCTCTTGTGTCCCTTCCTTTCCAGTCTTCATTTTGGTTTAGACATTTCATTCTAAGGAAGCTGTTTGTTCTTCTCACAGAATATATTGAATCTTCCTTCTTTTTCCCTTAGAACCCACGTCCTCTGTGAAGCTTTCCTAAGTAGACCTACCTATTAGGATGACAGTAGAACCACTTAGCTTCTAAGGCAGATTTTTCACTGTTCGTCCATATGTCGGACCTTCCTTTTCCATCCATTCATTAAGATTTTTCTTGTATATGGACTGTGTCTGTAACAGTGTTTAGTCTTGGGTGTCCCGGACAAATGACCGAGACATAGTGTGTGAGTGGGATTGGTTGGTGGGGTTGAAGGGCAGGTGATAAAACAGGTAAGATGAAATACTGGGATGGATACCAAATGCTGGTAGGAAGCAAGGAAGAGGATGATTAATTTTGACATAGGGGCTGGAGTTGCTCTTGCTGAAGTGGTGACATTTGAGCTGAGCCTTGAGGATAATTAGAATTTTCAAAGAAAGGATAGAAGAGCATCTGGGCTCTGGGGAAAAGCATAAAGTGTAGATGAATGAGAGAGTGTGGCTCACTCAGAAATGGCACCTGAGTGAGCTGGGAGGAGGTAGAGTCTGGAGCTTTGTGTGTGTACTGTGCTGAGCCGTCTGAAGGTGAGCGGTGGATCCTTTGGCTTCTGCAGGCTGCCAGGTAGCCTGTGTTTTCTCATCATGGCATCCGTTTGTCTTACTAGATGTGACATACTTTGTCTAAATCTCTACCCTGTCTGTGTGCCCTGGGGGTTACATTGGTCTCGCTAACTATTCTATGCTGTTACAAATAGGATATGTAATAGCGGATATTCCATAGATAAATGTTACCTAACTAGAGGTATAGAAATGGGTATGTCTTATCTAGGAAATGTGCGCCATTGAAAATGTGCAGAGTGTGTTAGCACAACAGGGTGACGTGGTCGAGGATGATAAATCCTCAACAGTATGCAGCGTGAATTGGGGAGTGGAAGGCCTGGAGATTGTGGGGAGAATTAATGTATTTTCTTTATGTCTGTTTTTTAATTTTTGCAAATCTGTTCAAATAGTTTTAAATGACAAGGGCATTCTGTCTATATTTTAATGTTATAAAATAATATTAATTGGTAGGATAAATGGCTGTAGCAAGTAGATTGAGAGCATAGTGGTTCAAACAATACAGGTGTGTTTTGTAACAGCCCAGGCATGTTCCTTAGGGAAACACGGGTGGGACCCTGTTCTAGTTGTTCATTCTGGTGGCAGTCATTTGGCTCCCAGGCGAGTGTCAGTCCTACTAGCTTCTGCTGGTGTTTTATTTCTGCGATCACTAGTTGTCATCATCACCACTTCAGCCCTACAAAGGAGGAAACAGTATAGCATAGACTAAATGGAGACTTCCTGTGCTAAACTTGGATTGGCACCTCCAAATCTGCACATTTGTCTTTGGAGAGAATTTAGTTTCATGTCATACTAGCTGCAAGGGAAGCTGGGAAATGTAGAGAGCCCTTCAACCATATGCCAGCCACCGTGAAGGAAAGAAAGGGACTGGGGTAACAGTTTATAGTCTGTGTCCGTTATGGAGAATGTAAGATAAAAAGAAAGATGTGTCTGCCCTCCTGCTCAGCATAGTTACTCCTACATAATGCATGTGTGGACAATGAATTTTTTTTTTTTTTTTGGCATTGCCAAGGCCTTGAGCATGCTAGGCAAGCGCTCTTAAACTGAGCCACATCCCAAGTCCTGTTCTTTTCTTATAGCTTCTGTGCAGGGTTCTGCACCTAACAGGCACAGAGTAATAATAGCTATAGCTTATAGCATCAGGCTCTCACATCTGTCATTTATTCCTCCTGCCATTATTATAGATGAGCAAAGCAATGCCCAGAAAAGTTAAATAATTTGCCCAGTCATACATCTATACTCTGTGGTGCAGCCAGGATTTGATCCCAGAACTCCATTTTGCCTCTGCCTAGGTAAGAAGCTGATAAATGTTCACTATCACCTTGGGCTGTATATTGTTTGTGATTAATTTAGGCAGAAAAAGGATGATAGTGGTTTGAAAGCAAAAGTGCAGTTAAAAATAGGAGGATCTGGGGTGAGGTTGGCTCAAGCACAATTCCTGAAGGGACTGGCTGTGCCAGCATGCACCTCTCAGATGCCGCAACCACAGTCTCTTAACTGGATCCCACAACTGCCCCGAGGAAAGAGAGCCCTGAAGGAGGAGGAAGGTCCAGCATGAGAACCCTAGTGAATCCATCCAGCTTTAACAGCCTTTGAAGTGCTGTGGCCTTCAGAGATTCCTTGGCACTCATTTTCGCCTTGTTAACAGAATTCCTGTATATGCCAAGCTGATTAATGCCAACCCTGGCTATAATTATTCTTATTAGCCTGCTGAATAGGAACTGTAGTTGTCAGTGATCATTCCTTACAAGGCAGTCGGGCTAGTCGGCATTTCTATGGCTATTTTGTTTTAGTGATGAGCTGCTGAGCTGATTTTCCCCCCATAGATTGAATGAACATTTTCATATTGCTGCTGTGTCTGGCAGTTAAATAAGGTGTGGGCTGTCTGTCAGTGTGTGTCTGCGTCTCACTTTATCAAATGAAGTTGGGGGAAGCTGTCAGGGGCAGTTCAGAGCTATTTACTTTAATTGCATTGGTTTCTTAAAGGCAGGGTAGCAAGGCCATTTGACTCTGCTTTGGGAAAATAACTTGCACTGGCAAAAATTCTTCATAATTTATCTTCTGGAAAAGGCAAAGTGCTGTAGTTGGCACAGTCAGTGGTTTTTCAGATCTTGGAATATTTCTCCCCACACCAACTGTAGTCTTTGGGAAGCAACAGAAATAGACCCAGTGGTTAATGATGTTGCCTACCGGCAGTGTGATTCCAGCAGGTTAGAGATAATGCACTGTGTATATGTTTGAGTTCTTCGAAGGGTGATTTCTCTATTATGGTTCTCAAAAAAGTGTTTGTGCTGGATTATAGAGTTGCTAAGTGGCATGATTCAAGTTTAAGTATGATATTCTGGGACTTTCACTGCATCCTGTTTCACACCTTTCTAAGCAGTTGAGACGTGAAAGCATTTACATCACTTGGATATTTTAGGGGATGGAGGACTAAGTGGTTAGGACTGCTCTGTCTGGATGGGTTTGGCTTAGAATGGTGAGGAGCTGAATTGTGCTTAAGGGTTCAGGGCACATTTCAAAATATGTGTTACCTTTGAATCCTAATGAGTCAGAGGCAGTTTGCAGGCAGATCAGTGACTTCTTAAACCTTCAAAGTGACATCAAGCCAAGAATATCCTGGAAATGGCTTTTCCATGCTTTTATTTCAACCTACAGTAGGCCAGTGCTTCCCGTTTATGGGTGATGGCAAGGGATCCCTATAAGTTTCAAGGGGGTTATAGGTGTGTCGTGGTATGGTACTGTTAGCCCCTGGAGCCCAGGGAT